TAGCGCGCTGAGCCAACAAACAGCTGATCAGCTGTTTGTCGGCTCAGCGCGGCAGCCATGTAAATTTAAATGAAGCTACGATTATTTAAATCGTGGCTTCATTTCCCTTTGCCGATCAGCCTAATCGACATGGCTCCATTGATGGAGCCATGTAGTTTAGACACACCCTCAGAGGCTGCATCTAGACAGAAAGTTTTTTCCAGAAGAAATCTTCTGGAAAAGCTTATTTCAACAGCAAAGGCACAACAAAAAAGCGATGTGCTTTTTTGAAAGATAGCATCCACATTTATTGAATGCTATTTCTCATTTAAGTTGTGATTAGTCTGGGTGGAGTGGCCACCAGGGCACCTGTTATTTCCTATTCTTTCGAAAGAATTCCCTCTTCTGTGTCCACACACGCCTTTTTCCGAAAAGGGCTTCTTCCTCGTAGAATGAGGTTTACTGCCATCAGAAAAAAACCTCCGTTCTTTTGACTTTCTGTCAAAAGAACTCAATAGCAGTGTGGATGCAAGTATTGTTTTTCCAGAGAAATGGCTGTTTTTCCAGAAAAACACTGCAGTATAGATGCACCCTGATTCTCCTCCTGTTGAACTGACAATTTGCAACAAGGGGGAGGGGAGCCAACTGTGACCCTGAGTTATTTCCCAGTTTCAGTGAGACTGTCCAAAGTGTGATACGTCCAGGAGGGGCATAGGAACAGCAGGGGTCAGGTCCAACCCCAGCAGGCACAGAGATGTGTGGTCACATGTCATCTTAAGACAAATCACTGCTTAGACTTAAAGGACAAAAGAGGCTGTTTACAGGTGATCACCCCAACATTGAGGGAAACACCTTTGATGGTTTTCATTTGCACATTTAAAACCATAAAACATTCTATACTCCATATGTCTAACTTTACATACAAGAATGATGCATACACCAAAACAAAAGATGATCCAGCAGTTTGTGACATTACAATTGATAAGTTACATGAGGTATTTGGTCCAGAGCATCTTCAAGTTATGCATATTTTTATCCATAAGTCAATTTCATAAAGCAGGGGGGTGGAGGTGAAACTGTCACCAGGGCCAGCCGAGCCATTTGTGCGCCCTGGGTTCCATAGGAAACCAACTTCCAAGTAGGAAAACCAACTTCTAAGCAATTAATTCTGGTTCAAAACTTAAACGACTATCTCTCTCTTCCCTGCTAGGTTCCTTGGTGCAGTTAATGCCACTATGTCCGTTCTTCGTGTCTCCATGCTCAAGGGTTTCTTACCAGACACAGAGGATCTTACAAGAGTACGTTATCATTCAGGAACTGGAGATGTAATAAATGACCCAGAGGTTCCTTAGAACCATCACTGAGTGTTTGAGTAGAAAGTAAAACACAGCATATGATCAGTAAGGCCCAAGCAAAACAAAAACAAAGACTTCATTCAGGGGAAACAGCAGAACTAGTGACCCTTGAAATTAGGGGAAAGGCCCATTCTGTACACATGAGGTTAGAGTTGTAGGTAAATTAGATGCCTCAAAGAATTGGTAAAGGGGAAGGCCTTTCAGCTTTAGGAAACTAAAACCTTTTGTCCAATAATTGGAAGTCGTGTTTATCAGTCACCTTTCCAGTGACCTGTGTGCATTGAGTCTGGTGGGTTTCAGTGAACAAACATCCTCATCGCGGTACCCATCCTCACAACAGGTGTGCTGGCTGACAGTTTCAGCAGAGAGGTCAAGGTATATAAATGGGCCGTGGAGCCTAACACAACAATTGGTGTGTGCCCACAAATGGTATTTGCACCTGGAAAAGTATGGCTGTAAAATGAAAGGTGAAATGAAAGCTGCAGTGAAAATGAGGCCCAGGATGGATTGCTGCAGGGGATCCCTTACCCAGAACAGACTGAGGTTTTACTATAGGTGGGGTTGGTAGTGACCTATCTTTAAGCTCTCTGGACACTTCTCATTATAAGACCTTGTTTTCAATTGCTTGTAATTCAGCCAAACAATGGCACTGATTATTTATTTGCTGGGTCTCGGCCTCAATTTGATTTAAAAACAATCCAGCAAAAATATTCAGCCATTTCTGAGAATGAGGCTAGGAGAACATACATTGTTTTCCCCATTGTAATGCGTTCTGGTAGTGGTTTTTATTTGAACTGCTCTGGTTCCCCTGTTCTTTGGAATAGGGACAGCAATAGGGAAATGTGGCAGACATGGCCTGTGTGTTCCAGAGATGGCTTACGTGACAGATGAAGCAGTGGCCCTATAGGTAACAGCCTCTTTTTCTATACAACCCTGAGTCATGCTCAAAGCAGGTCTAGCCTAGGCACTAAACAAGGTAGGGGGTCTTCTGAGAAAAGTACAATGTGAACAAATTAAAGAATGGATCGTAATGTATACACTCAAGGGGGCTGAAGTAAGACTGTACACACTTCCTAAATGAACACTGGTGTTTCCTGACTTTTGAGTGCTTGGCTTTGCAACCTTAATGATCTTCTGCTAAGGGTGTTTACTGTGTGTAACTAAACAAGCAAGCTCCGGTCATCTGAAAAAGTGTCCACGAAAGCTCATGATACCATCTATATGTTTTGTTAGTCTTTAAAGCGCAACCAGACTAGTTGTTGTTTTATAAGTTTTTCCTGTTACAGACTAACTCAGCTACCCCTTTAAAGCCCAGATACATTTCACACTGATGCTACGTCTACACTGTTTCCCTCTTGCGGAAGAGGAAATGCAAATGGAGCGCTCATTAGCATATGTCGCACTCTCATTTGTGTATTCTCTTCCAATCCTTTTTGCAGAAGAGGTTTTTGTGCAAAAAACCGCACTGTAGATGGGGCTGTTTTGTACAAAAAAAACCTTTTGCAAAAGAACCCTTATTCCTCATTATTTTGTGCAAGAACCCTTATTCCCCATATGTTGAGGAATAAGGGTTCTTGCGCAAAAGGGTTTTTTTGCACAAAACAGCCCCGTCTGCTCCTAAACTACTTTTTAAAATGTACTAGGCACCTATCTGCAGTTTGAGGCACTCAAATATGCTTGAAAATATGGCCCTGAGTGCCTAATCCTCTTAGGCTGTTCTGAAAATCCAACCACAGTGTCGTAGTTGTAATGAATTGATGCCAAGATTAATGAGGAGTATTTAACTTGAGCCATCAATGCTAATCACTATTACTTATGCGAAAACAGAAATTCCATCAGTCGTGAATTAATAAAAGGCTCTTAGCCCCTGTGAAGATCTGGTGCTGGGCAACATGATCACATGCAGGTATCTTTTTTCCATTTTCTTTTTTATTGTCTTCTTTTGTTTAGCTTTCCCAAGGGGTCGATAGATACGTTTCCTGGTATGAAATTGACACAACCCTGTCAGACCAAGTCAGCCTCATTATCTACCTGGACACGGTAAAGGGATTTCTCTGATTCTTTGTTAATTTCATGAAGTTCAAGGCATCCCCGCTATTCTTCGCCCTGGTAGACATCCGTTCTGGACTAAAGTCGTTGACACTTGTTGGAACTGATGCGTTATAAGCCCTCCCATTCCCCACTCATAGGTCACACACAAAGAAAACCCCAGTTTGCACAAATGGAAGTCAGCCACAGGAAAAAAAATCCCACTTTAAGTTGTTTCACTATATATCCAAGTTTTTTGGAACTTATCTTGGACTTACAGTGAGGACGGCTTGTACTGCTACAAGCTCTCGCTGAGTCAAATGCTGCTCCTTGAAGGCTTCTCAGCTGTTAACAATGGTATTTCCTGGGTGTATCCAGTGGCAGATTTTGGATGCTCTAGCCCAGATTTAACTCTGCCAGGAGAACATGTCACTCCCATGAACTTCAACATAAAATCACAGCCCCATACATCAGAGGAGTTTCATCCTGAGTGGCGACTATTTTTACCACTAGCTTTTTTCTATGGCTGCCAATTGCCACCTCCCTCTCAAACTCATTCTCTCTTCTTACCACTTTCCTTCTGTCTAAATTGTCCTTTTCCCCGTTTCTTCCCATCCAGGTTTCTCATGTGGAGTCAAGTTGCTTGAGATTTAAAGCTCACCAATTTTTAGAAGTCGGTCTGGTTAAGCCTCTATCTGTCACAGTCTATGAGTATTACGCTACAGGTAACATAGATGACTGCTCCTTTTATGGCACAGTGGGCCAAATTCTGATTTTTCTTACAGTGGTGTAAACCTGGATTCTATCCATTAACTTATGTAAAGTGACTTATGTAAAGCAGAATTGGGATATTATTTATTACATTTTATATGATTCTTTTATCTAATGGCTTTACACCCCCTATTGAGCATTATTATCCCCATTTTACAGATGAGTCAACTGAGGCTCAGAAAGGCTACGCACCTACTGGCATGGTTGGGAATAGCATCCACGGGTCCTGACTCCCAGTCCCCTCTTCTAGTGCTAGTCCACACAAGGAGATATGCTCACATTTTCTGTCTAGTACTAATAATCCCATGAAAAGGCAAATAAAATAATGGGGGAATCCTTAAACTCATCCCCTGGCAATAATTTTCCTACCAAATTTATGACCCCCAAGGGGAGTTTGTTGTCAGAAGACAAGTAACGTGATAGCGAGAGTCTCCCTCAAAATGTCCCATTTCTGACAGGTGCTTTAATATTTTTGACAAGTAGGTCACCCTCACTACTTCTCTCTTCCTCCAACCACTTTCCCTCCCTGCCTCACACAACTCTCTGCTGTTTTACAGTGGCAGCAAGTATCCCAGCAAAATCCAGAAAATAAAAAAGCCAAAGTATCATCTGTGTATTAAATAGGGTCTTGGTCTGTGTGCTAGGATGGGCCATCCCCTCATCTCCTGTATAGAGAAGATGGAAATCTCTCTCACTGCATTAGGGCCAGACCTTCAAGTCTTTTCTTGCTCTTTATTTGAGCAAAACCCTCATTGATCTCAGGGACTTTTACCTGAGTAATTCACCAACTGCTTGTCAGTCTGTATGTCGAGGAATGATCTGTAGCTCTGCTCTTTCTGCAGATGCCCGCTGCACAAAGTTCTACCAGCTGCCTAAACAGAGCAGCCTCCTCAGCAGCTTCTCCCACAAGGAGGTTCATCAATGCAGTGAAGGTAAAGAGCTCTCCCATCTCCTCACACCGCAGCAATATGGGCAGAGGCACAGGAATCTGGCCTGGGCCCAGCCGTTCTGGTGAAGATGCTCTCCAGTAATTATGATTCATCAGTGGAAATGTAGGAGCATTTTTTGATCACTGGGGTTGACAATTTATGACGTGATGGTTGCTTGCCTGCAGATTTCCAACCAAAGCTTGTCTACATGAGTAATTCCTAGGGAAGTTAGTGCAAAAGAGCTATCAGGAATTTAGATCGGGTCTAACTAGGGGAGATCAACCTAAAACATGCAACTCCATTTAAGAATAGTGTAGCTGGAGTTGATGTACCTTGGGTCGAATTTCTGCAGCATTCCCGCTATGGGAGGTCAGCAAGAGAAACACCCTTTGACTTCCCTTATTCTTTGCAACTGGGTGGAGTACCAAGGTTGACGGGGCACTGTCAGTGTTTGATTTTGCAGGTCCTTACTAGACCCACTAAATTGAACCCCGGAAGATCGGTTTCAGGGGCATTGATCTCCAGGTTAATGGAGATGAGCCCTAAAAGTGCAGTAGCTTATAAGAACATCTGTGTGGTTTATTCGTGGGAAACAAGTTTCCACATAGGGAACTAGTGCAAATAACTTGTGGTTTAAATACGCACCCTTGCTCTTTCACACCAACTCCTTGGATTCCTTGTGTACACAAGCCCTTATTTGAAACTTGCTGGTAAACCACCATCGTACAGTCACAGTCTGGGCGAGGATTTTACCAAAGATATAAGAACATCTGTGTGGTTTATTCGTGGGAAACAAGTTTCCACATAGGGAACTAGTGCAAATAACTTGTGGTTTAAATACGCACCCTTGCTCTTTCACACCAACTCCTTGGATTCCTTGTGTACACAAGCCCTTATTTGAAACTTGCTGGTAAACCACCATCGTACAGTCACAGTCTGGGCGAGGATTTTACCAAAGATCACCCCATTGATTCCCTGTGGGGACCAACCCTACCTGTCAGTCGAATTCCACGGTTCCCACATTATAAACGTTCCCACCCCCTCACTGGCAGGTTGGTTCAGCAAAGGCCAGTGATTGAGAGGCCAAGCCCAGGGCACCCTCTTCTTACTCCCAGATAGAGCCCTTCTAGAAGAGGATGGACAGTCCTGGCAATGGTGCACGTGTCCAGCGACTTTGCCACGGTGCTGTTTGTGCTTCATGTGTCCTTGGGGCTATATAGTGGCCAGCACCTCGACTCAGGAATGTCTTCCTCCCCCACAGAAAACTGCTCCAAGCAGGGCCAGCTGAATGGCTCAGTCACTCAGGAGATGCGGATACAGGAGGCCTGTAAACCTGGAGTGGATTACGGTAAATCTGTGATTTAGGCCTGTTGAGCAGACGCACAGGGCAGATTTAGATCCCCATGAAAACTCTTAATTTATGGCATTCTTATCAGTGTCATTAGAGCTCGTTCCTGTCAGTGTCATTAGGGTTCATGAGATTTTGAGCCCCAGTTAGAGGAAATATCTTTTGATGAGCTATTCCCATCAGATCTCATGTGCCCCTGGAGAAGATCTAGAAGATAGGTCTCTCCCAGTGTTGGGATCTAGCCCAGAACCAAAGCAGTTTAGACCTATGATTCTGTGACTTGGGATTCCAACTCAGCTTCCCACACAGAAAAATTCCAAGAGGGTCGGGTCTATGTTTCTGGTTTTGATCCATGAAGAGTTCTCCAGGAATTGGCTTTGAGTGGAGTGTGAGCCTCAAAATGAGCATTGCATGTGAAAACAGATAGTCTTTGTAGGCCACGGTAACAGGGGTACACTCACCTCTCACAAGCGCCCCCGGGCCAGTGTTCCCCTTCATGTTTTATGTCCATCTGCAGAATGACTTTTATGATGTGCCCCAATATGGGGGTGATGTATCACGTAAAAGTCATTCTACGCATGGACAGTATGTGGCAGGCAGCCTCCTCTTGCACCCCAGTCCATTCCAGTGGCTTACCCTGTTGAGCAGTGTTGGGCCTACAGGAGAAGAGAGAAGAGCTGGTACTTCTCTTGAGACATGTAAGCAATAGAGTCAAAGCCTTTTACCTTCCGTTACTGTCAGTCCCTTTGCCTCTCGGTCAGCTGGCCCCATGCCAAATTCTCAGCAGACAAGTGCCGCACACGTAAGTAATGTAATTTGTTTTCATTTAGTGTATAAAGCCAGGCTCATTAAAACTGAAGAATCAAGCAGTTATGACAAGTACACAATGGAAATTTTGGAAACCATTAAAGCAGGTAAGAGCGCTGCCTTTGGATGGAAAAAAAACAACCTGTTCCCAAAATTATGAGCATTCTTTTTAAACGGCCATAGTTGAAAGCTGTTAGCTTAAGGCTCCAGGGGATAAGATAAAGATCATCCAGTCTCTTGCGTCCGGGCATTACTGCTCTCCATAACGTAACAAATCCAAAGGAAACTTCCCCCATGCAGCACAGCACTGAGAGCTGGAGCTAGACCAGTGTTTCCCAATTGGTGCTCCGTGGAACCCCGGGGTTCTGCGAAGTGAAAGCAAGGGTTCCGTGAGAACGCGGCATTGCCCCACCCCCTCTTAAAGAGACAAAGTATTTTGCAGGTTTTTTTGCTCAACCAATTCTGGCTGGGCTTTTTTTGTTTTGGTTTGGTTTTTTTGCTTGCCAAATTTTACCCTGGGAACCCTAGGGGTTCCTTGAAATTATTTTAAGCTGAAAAGGGTTCTGTGGCCAAATAAAATTGGGAAACACTGAGCTAGAGTCTTCAATGAGAGGATCACTTGTTTACTCTTCTAGGGCTAAATGTGACCCCATGTCTCTATACTGCAGCTGCAGAAAAACATCTGAGATTCTTCTTTTTCCTATTCCTCTCATCTCTCTCCCCTGCACTTGGTGTATGCCCCCGACACCCCACCTCTCTCCAGCTCACTTCTCTGATGTGCAGCTTCTTTCCTTTTTCCCCAGGAACTGATGAAAATCCAGAAGGAAAAACACGCGTGTTCATCAGCCATGCAAACTGCAGGCAGGTTCTGAAACAAGAACTTAACAACGACTATTTAATCTGGGGCCTCTCCAGTGATTTATGGACCTCTGGAGCCAAGTGAGTAATCCCTTCACATGGGCCTTGAATTTCAGCGTGTTGAGGGGAGGACGCAGTGGCAGGAAGTTGGGTTTGCAAATCTTTTCATCAGCACAAACGATCGTTAAAGCTCGCTGTTTTCAAGGCACTTCGAGCGCAATTGCTCCAGAGCTGTTTCTGACTTGCACTGGCCTGAATTTGGATAAATAACTTTATTGGAGCAGGTGGAAATGTCTGTCTTTTGGGGGTAAATATAGAAAGGAGCTTCGTATGGGAAGGTGTCACCAGCTCACTGGGGCAGCCTTGGCTGATCCTGTAGAAACCAGATTTTCTTTTGGGCTGTGTCTACACTGGCATGAATTTCCGGAACTGCTTAAAACGGAATACTATTCCGTTTTCAGTTTTTCCGGAAAAGGAGCGTCTACATTGGCAGGCTGCTTTTCCGGAAAAGCCCTTTTTCCGGAAACGCGCTTTTCCGGAAAAGAGCCCCGATCGCCATTTTCGCAATCGGGGCTTTTTTCTGGAAAAGACTACTGGGCTGTCTACACTGGCCCGTTTCCAGAACAGTGTTCCGGAATAAGGACTTATGCCCGAGCGGGAGCAGAACAGTTTTTCCGGAATAGCGGCTGATTTTGTACAGTAGAGCATCGTTGCTTTTCCGGAAATTCAAGGGCCAGTGTAGACAGCTCACAGCTTATTCTGGAAAAGTGGCTGATTTTCTGGAATAAGTGGCCCAGTGTAGACACAGCCTTGGTGTCTCATTGGAACTGAGCAGTCAGGGAGCAAGAGAAGAATAAGGGCAGGATCTCTTAGCAATGGTCCATCCTAACTGACCCAGTAGAATGTGGATCACTGCTAGCTGTGTCTCGAATTAGAGATGACCCTGGATGGAACCTGTTCTGATTCCGTACAAGTCAGGTGCAGGCTCTGTGCTCCAGGCCTGCCCCTCCTTAGAGAACTCAGCAGACAGATTGCAGATCAGCAAGTATGGAGTGAAGCACAAACCTTCTCCTTCTCCTTTCCAGCATCTTCTATGTCATTGGCAAAGACACTTGGATGGAGAAGCTGCCAAGTGAGAGCAAATGCCAACAGGCAGATTTCAAGAACCTGTGCATAGAATTTGTGGAGTTCTCCCACACCATCATGGTATTCGGCTGCCCAGCGTAAACATGGAAATGGCCATTGTACTACCTGAGCAGGATGATTTGAGCTGAGCTAGAGCATAACACTTGGTGCGGCAGTCATGAGATTGCAGGCACTCTGAAATATCCTCTGCCCCATTTGGGGCCTCCCTCTTTGCTTTCTTATTGTTTTTCTACTCGTATTCAGTGACAAACATTTACATTAACACATAGTAACAGTTGCTTGCTCTACGTTGTCCCCTTGAAGAATGCTGAGTTGAGCAAAAATCAAACGTCTGAAAACCAGGAAATGCAGAGTTAAGGTTGCATTTGTGAGTGAAGTGGGTGCAAATACATGGTGTGAGTGAAGTGGGTGCATCCCCTTACAGATTCTTGTCAACACAATCATATTTTTTGAGAGAAGAGTGTTAAGTTTAAAAATTACCAGTAGTCTATGGACAGTAACATTTCTGAGAGTTCGGTACATACTATTGTTGCAGAAATAACTAAATTTAAATCAGTTGTTGCCATGGTTTAAAACAGACACAGGTGAAAGAATTGGGCCTCATACTTCCAAGAGAAATGAACTTTCCTTGTTTGTTTTACATGGCTGTTGATTCTGAACCCCAGTGGTGAACACTTACATGTCAATACAATTACGTTTCAGCTGCTGATCATTTTAGCCAGAGTGTGGGTACAGCTTGGGCAGTGTTGACACACATCTTTTAATGGCCCACAGCTGAGCAGATCATTACCATATCAGTGAAAACTTGGTTTAGTTTGCTCAATGTACAGCTGTTTATTTTAGAGAGAATCACACATGCAGGAAAAGGTTATATAATACTCCCCTCAATGCCCGGCAGCTCCCTAAGCTTAAACATTCAGTAACTATGTTGACCTTACACAGTATCCTGAATGCCAAACAAAGCAGATATAGCTTCAACTCCTAGACGGAGTCTCTTCTCTTCTCTTCGCTTCTCTTCAAGCGCTTGGTCTATCAAATGTCCCCAAAGCAAGGTCTTGGTTACTCTGAGGCTCACTGGTTCAAAAGTCATACAAAAGCCTCATAGCAGGATGTTGGCTACCCTGATGTCTTACAGCATCATGGACCTAAGTGCTGTGTTGAACTATACGTGCATTTCAGCGCACTCAGTACATTTCCATACCATCTGTCTTATGGAAAAGGAATCCTGCTCCCAGAATCCTTTAGTCAATTCACGCATATCAAGCCTCAACAAACCCATGCTTGCCACATTCGTTTATATCAATCACAGGAATCGTACTGTATACTTTAGAAATGTGTGTCTATCTGTCTAGCCATCCATCTGTGAGTCCATTTGTTCAAGAACCCCTCCTAAATTATAAGTGCTAGGACCGCCACTTCCTCTTGGTCATATCTTAAAGCAAGGTAATAGTTTGGTTGTGCCAAGGCAATGGGATGTGTCTGGAGTTTGAGTGTTTTTCATAAAATGGAAAGGGAGCATCTGGCAGGATGGACTGTTATGCTACAGAATGACCACAGGGAGGCAGCAAGGGGCCAGAGATGGGGACCAGGACAGCCATAACTGCACTGGGCTAGCTGGGAGCAGGGATGGAGAAAGGGACAGCTCTCTACTATATATTTCAGACAATGTGTGTGTTTGTGTGTCTGTCTGTCCTCCAGCCAGGGGACATGCCACCCCGCCCCTGGCTGTGCCCACTGCAGTGGTAGCAGCCATGGAGAGGTGCTTCTCACCTGGCCCCAAGCTGCTGCAGCAAGAAAGGACTGGGGCTGTCCTCGCTCCATGAGGCAGCCAGTATATTGACCCCCTCCTCCTCAGCCCCACACTGGGATAACGATTTAAAGGAAAAAAAAGAAAACGTATTTGAGTTAAGGACACAAGCAGCGCTGGGTAGATCTTGCTCATAATGATTCGGCACTGGAGGTAAGCGGGTCTGATTTTTCAAGATCAATTGGACTCCAGAACCTATAATCCCTCACTAACATGCAGGAATCAGGCGAGCGCTATCAAAACTGGAGAAATGGCACCTGCAAGCCAGCTCTTGGGGGGAGCTGAAGTGAGTGCTCATCTGCCACTGAGCAGCTGCAGAAGAAGGAATGGGACTTCGGCTCGATCCACAGCCAGAGCACTCTGGAGAAGTGGGTCAGCAGATCCATTTCTTTTCACAGATCCAGTAATTAGGCTGGGAGCAGTTGGAATCATCCCACATCCCAGAAGGCCTCATGCTGGCACAGTCTTCTTCCTCCCTCTTGGAGTCTGGGCCCTCTATGTACCAGAAGCTACCAAGAAAAACAAAGCAACATAAAGCCGGCAGATGTAGTTAGACGGAGTTAGCATTTCAAAGGTGTTCTTCAGGCGCCAGAGCTAATCCCCATGAGGAGTAATGGAGAAGCTCATTCCTCTCTGGGCAATGCCAATAGCCGTAGCCTCTAAGCAGGGATTTTGTAGATCTCAACCCCTTTATTAAATAGAGCTCCTGCCACTGCAGAGACAGATATCTCCCAATCCCTCCATTTTCTGGTAACAGTGTAAATCCAGAGTAAGCCAAATGGGCATGACTGTCTCATGGAGACCAGAAGCTGACTCTGAGGCTACGTCTACACTGCAAGGTTTTTTTAGCAGGAGATATGCAAATGATGCACTCATTTGCATATCTCGTGCTCTCATTTGCATATCCTCTTCTGAGTCTTTTTATGGAAGAGGCTGGTTTTTTTCCTGTTAAACAGCCCTGTGTTGACGGGACGATTTGTCGGAAAAAAAACCTTTTGCACAGGATCCCTTATTCCTCAAAAAATTGAGGTTTACAGGATCATGTGCGAAAGATTTTTTTTTCCCCGACAATTTTTTTTCCGACAAATGGCCACATCTACACAGGGCTTTTTAATGGCAAAACCTCTTCCGCAAAAAGGATCGGCAGAGGATATGCAAATTAAGTGCTCACTAGCTCTCATTTGCATATCCTCTTCTGATCCTTTTTGTGGAAGCGGTTTTGCCATGCAAATGAGAGCATGAGATATGCTAATGAGTGCTTCATTTGCATATCTTCTTCCAGAAAAAAAACTGCAGTGTAAACATAGCCTGAGAAGGTGCCACTACAGGAGTGAGTCTCTTCTTACCCCAGTGAGTCCTGTCACCTGTACATCCTGTCCTCTTTGGCTACGTCTAGATTGCATCCCTTTTTCGTAAAAGGGATGCAAATTAGACGTATCGCAATTGCTAATGAAGCGGGGATTTAAATCTCCCCCACTTCATTAGCATAAAAATGGCTGCCGCTTTTTTTCAGCTCGGAGCTTTGCCGGAAAAAAGCACCAGTCTAGACGCGGCTCTTTCGGAAAATAAAGCCTTTTCCGGAAGATCCCTTATCCCTTGTTTTAAGAGGGATATTCCTTTAAGAGGCCAGGACCAGAAGTCTTGTGGGGGTAGAGGGCAAGGCTCCTCACTCTCCTAACCAATCAGAACCAGCGGTGGGACAGAGGGCTGCATATATTCCTCCTGTTTTTCCCTCACACTAGGCAGACCCTGCAGGCAGTGGAAGGTTGTTGTCTGCAATGCTCTCCCACACCAGGGAGCAAAGGAACTAATGTGAAAAAGCACCAGGTGGAGGAGAAGCTGGTTTAAAGTCACAGCCGGCCTGACATGACATAAGCGCACCCAACATACAGGAAATCCTCTTGGCCCAAGCAAGGAGGGCTAGAAAAACCCCTGCATCTGAGGTGAGACTCAATTGGCCTGGAGGACCAAAATCCCCCACCTCAAGAGTGAGGTCTGGAAAGACCCCTCCTCCGAAGGGTGAGCGATTTGGAAGGCATCTGTATTAATAGGGCTTCTGGTTTGTGTGGTTTCCTAATTTAAGTGCTGGAGATTTATTTTTAGCACTATCTGAGTGACACACATTGAGGTTTTTTGGGTCTTTCCGTTTCTGTGTACTGTAATTTGTAATATGTAAATACCCTAAGACTTAAGTCATCTTGCAGGTTTCAGTGGGGCTAGTTCAGGTTACCATGGGGGAGGTCTAGGTTGGATATTAGGAAAAACTATTTTGCTAGGAGGGGGGTGAAGCTCTGGGATGGGTTCTGTAGGGAGCGGGTGGAATCTCCATCCCTAGATGTTTTTAAATCCCAGCTTGCAAAGCCCTGGCTGGGATGGTTTAGTTGGGATTGGTCCTGCCTTGATCAGGGGGCTGGACCCGATGACTCCTGAGGTCTCTTTCAGCCCTAGGATTCTAGGATCTCTCAGTAACGTTCCCGAAGCACGCTTCCGAATAGCATTGTTCCCAAAGTGTGTTTGGGTGCCTTTAGGCCACATCAGCAGGATTACATGGACAAATTAATGCCCAGCACATTCGTATGCCTTAGAAATCAACCACCCCAGCACACCTCCTGTTATCCAAATTACTGCTCTGTGCCAACAAGCCCTTATATACAAGCAATCTTTTCCAGTGTTTATTAAATAACCACCAATTTCTTTTTATATAAGGGGTGTTTTATCAGTGTTTCTTGGTTAAAAAGGAAAATCCAAAGACCTCTGTGTGTGCAGTAAATAAATTAGATGTCAGGGGAAGGAAAATCTTGTTTAAAGATTCTGGAAGTGAGTGATTTATTTCTGACCCTAGTAGAGGGAACTGAGGGAAATGTGCCTGCAGGACCTTGCTGTGTCACAAGGAGGTGCTCAGGTAGGGCTTCATGGTACCCCTATTTACTGAGAAGGAGCTGTAGGAGAGGAAGGTTGGCAAGAGTGGCAACTCTTCCACAGTTAACCTGTGGAACTCCTTGCCAGAGGATGTTGTGAAGACCAGGACTTTAACAGGGTTTAAAAAAGGGCTAGATAAATTCATGGAGGTTAGGTCTATCAATGGCTATTAACCATCAATGGTGTCCCTAGCCTCTGTTTGTTAGAGGCTGGGAATGTATGGCATGGAGGGATCACATCATGATTCCCTGTTCTTTTCACTGTCTCTGGGGCATCTGACACTGGCCACTGTCGACAGACAGGATATTGGGCTAGATGGACCTTTGGTCTGACCCAGTCTGGCCGTTCTTATGTTCTTACTCCCTCGCAAGAGCTATTCCAAGGCATTGCTCTGAGCACTGGAGGGTCCCAGGTTTAAATTACTAGGTGAGTCCATTCCAGTTGATTAAACAACCAGGAGATGTCTCCATTTGATGGCGCTTTGGCAGCCTGTGTCACATGAATCCCTGGGACTAGAGTCTGGACTGCTGAAAACAGGTGCAAATCCAGAGATGCTCCCACTTATGCTAAGCCCCAGTTCATTTCCCAAGAAGACAAGTCCATCTACCAATAGAGAGAATAACAACAAATCACAATAATGAAACTCCGCCTGGTGCACGCTGGTGCTGCCAGTCCCAAGCCTGGGTCAAATGGGGAGGGTTGAACCCAAGATAAAACACCTGGCCTTACTAAAATATCTCGACAGGCTGCCATGTCAGTCGAAAGAGCAGTGCTGACTCACCAAGCTTCAGGAAAGTTCCCGGTGGAAGTCAGGGCCCCCACAAGTTGGATGCTGACCTTCAGAGTTGGTTAACGGGCATGTGAGAACTGTCTTTCAAACATCAACGGTCTCACAGCTGAACCCCTGGGAAATGAAATTCAAACTTCCCTGGGGTGTTTCCTGTTCATCTAGAAAGCAATAGAGGTGCAAGTTCTGGCCAGAGTGGTCCAAGTGGGGCACTGTGGGATGCCAACTGGAGGCCAAGAACCTCGACTTTCACCAGAGCTGCAGCTACGCTACTGTAAATTTGACCAGGCAAGGTCAGGAAACTCCTTATGAAATAGGAGTACCTGACATTGACTTCACCGGCCCTTAAGGTTGACAGAACAGGCTTGGTAGTGTGGACACGTCATTTAGAAAATCGATCTTATGCGGCTAAATTTGGTCTAAACGCCTAGTATAGACCAGGTCGTAGGGACATCAAACCCTTGGGGGAGTAGCACAGAGAGAATGGACCTGAAGAAAAATGGGCAGCGCTCAGAAAACAGATGATTCAAGCTGCTGTAGTCACAGTTGGATATCACCATGGAGCAAGTCTCAGAGGGGAAGCTGTGTAAGTCTGTATCTGCAGAAACAACGAGGAGTCCTGTGGCACCTTACAGACTTGGGGTACGTCTATAGTAGCCCCCTAATTCAAACTAGGGAGGCTAATGAGGGCGACTGAAATTGCAAATGAAGCGCAGGATTTAAATATCCCATGCATCATTAGCATGTTCCCGGGTGGTCGCCATTTTGGAAACTGACTAGCCCGGAATAACTAGGTCGAACTAGGGGGCTAGTGTAGATGTACCCTAATAGATTTACTTGGCATGATGTGGGGAAAGCCTTTTGCAGCATGGTACGATGGGTTGAACTTCTTTGGTCCAGGACCATAGTTCCGTGTAAGATGCGCATCTGTGCACAAAAAATTCCCCGCCCGCCCAGCTCCTTTGCAGAGCTGTACAGCAGCTCTCACTTACATGCAAGCGGCTGCTCCAGGCCAAGCCAGCTTAGGCCCCGGGGGGGGGGGGGGGCACCCATCCCAGTGGCCAGGGCCAGCTCTGGCAGTCAGCTGGGGCTGTGTGACAGGTGTCCAGGGCTTGCTCTGGTGGGGTGCTGGGACCTGCCACACGGTGGGGGGGAATGCTCTGGAGGCCAAAGCCTTCCACAGCTGCATGGTAGGGGGAGGGGGAGCTGGAATTCTATATCTTAGTAAGGTACTGATTTTGATGGAGGTTTATCTTAAAGCTAGTTCATCAAATAGTCAGAAATAAAAGGGGGAACTCATTTGTCCAGCAATTTGGGAAAAAAGGAATGCTGTCCCCTTAAGGGCTCTCTTCAACCCCAAGGGTGAAAGGATAGTAGGGTTGGATACAAAGGACAGGAAGACTTTGGAAGCCAGTTTCTGTACTATAATAATTAAAATGTGAATTTTGGATAAGGGGGGGTCTTTTGAAGATTTTATGAAACATCTGCATGTCTGACGAGCCAAGCATTTCAGGCTAATGCTAAATACTCAGATTGTGCATCTAAAAATCTATGCCAGGGTTTTTCTAGAGATGTGATTTTTATAATCTTCAGCAAGAAACTAATGAAATATGTAAAGCAAATTTTAAACTAAGCTTCTGTAACACAGTAATGCACAGCTGTTTTTCTCACTGGCTACATCTACACTGGCATGATTTTCCGGAAATGCTTTTAACGGAAAAGTTTTCTGTTAAAAGCATTTTCGGAAAAGCACATCTAGATTGGCAGGATGCTTTTCCGCAAAAGCACTTTTTGCGGAAAAGCATCCATGGCCAATCTAGACGCGCTTTTCCGCAAAAAAGCCCCGATTGCCATTTTCGCGAGCGGGGCTTTTTGCGGAAAACAGTACTATGCTGTCTACACTGGCCCTTTTGCGCAAAAGTCTCTCTGAAAAAGACTTTTGCCCGAACAGGAGCAGCATAGATTTTCCGGAAAAGCACTGATGATTTTACATGATATCGTCCGGAAATTCAAGCGACCAGTGTAGACAGCTGGCAAGTTTTTCTGCAAAATCAGGGGATTTTGCGGAAAAACTTCCCAGTCTAGACACAGCCAGTAAGTTCAGGGTGGGTAGGTGCCTGTTACATAGTTTTATTACTGCTGAATGGCTCTTTTCCAGGTTCAGTGTGATGCTAACAGGTCTGGCTTTTCACTCTTAACAGGTCCACTTCTGGGGAAGGGTCACCCGTCCGCAAGCTGCAACAGCCTGTCGTGGGAACCTTCAGGAACAGTCAGAATAGGGATAGGAAGAGGGAGCAGTTGAGCACTAAGAGCCAGGGAAGATATACCCACCAGCCATGCTAAGATTCCAGCCCAGTTCAGCTTTCCTGCTGCCCAGAGTCAGTGCCTGTTCTGAGCCGAGCCCACTCAGGCCCCTTTCAGGAGACAAAACAGGATCCTTGAGTGCCCGGCTAGTTTTCTGAGAAGGGCTTTGCATGAGAAGGGCCTTACCTGGTAGAATATGTGCTCTGGTCTACCCACTGCCACCTCCCTTCCTCCATTGCATCACTCAGCCCCAGCCAGTACGTCTTGTCACTCTCACTATGTTCTTTCAAGAAAGCCTGGAATGGAAGTTAAATCCTTTTCCATTCCAAAAGACAGGACTATGCAGCACTTTAAAGACTAACAAGATGGTTCATTAGGTGATGAGCTTTCGTGGGTCTGGCCCACAAAAGCTCATCACCTAATAAACCATCTTGTTAGTCTTTAAAGTGCTGCATAGTCCTGTCTTTTGGAATGGAAAAGGATTTAACAGCAGGAAGGCCAAGCTGAGTGGTCAGTCTGTACATTTCCAGTGCAGCCACCGAGATGGGCCACCATCGGCCTTTCACTTGTACATCAACCTGGTGTCTAGTGACCAAAAGTCTCTGCCGTAGGGGAGATGAGTTTGGGAGTTCCCAGTAGGATTGGGCAGGGCCGCTGACGGTGGGTAAAGGTGGGAGGTGCCCCAGGGCCCAGCTCACCACTGCACCCTGCATGGCGCTGTCTGGGAGGTGCTGAGGGCTTCCGGGGCAGGCACAGCATGGTCCAGGCAATGCTAAGGTCTGGCCGCCCTTAGTCCCATCCCTCCTGGGGAGGCCTGGACCCAAATCCCCCCACATCTCTAGCCAACATTCTCCTGCTATAACCATCCCCTCAGGACTATCACAGCAGCACAGACTCGGCTGGGGTAGTTCTGCTGAAGTCTTTCGGCCCAGATCCCTGGCTGATGGAAATTCACAAAGCGCCATTGTCTTCAGTAGAGCTCTGCAGATTCCACATCTCAGGATCTGCTCAGAGCTCAACCCACATTTGGGAGGAAAGTCTCAGACTCCCACCCTCTGCTTGATCCTGTTTCTCCCAGCCGGGTAGCGTCATTGCAGCCGGAGCAGTCACATCCCTCAGGGAGGATGATCAGGCTCGGCAAACTTGTGAAATCCCTCCAAATTCACTGGCATTACTCTCCATCGGCACGGCGCGAGCTGACAGCAGAATTTGATCCCTCAGCCTTACCCGGTCCGTTCTGAATGGCGCTACAGCAAGCAAAGGGGAGGGCTTACCTGTTCCTCATCAGTGTTAACGGAAACCAGGTGAGACTTTTGATCAACACAGAACTGCTTTGCCCATGTCCAATCTCCTGTCATGTTTGAAAAGAAATAGCAGGCTTTCTCAAACTTCTTCCAGCCTGCGTGACAGCGTAAAGGCTCTGGCAGAGCACTGCAGATGGACTCTGTAAGGCAGAATTCAGCACGGCCCTGCATTACCATCCGAACCTCTGGCTCACGCAGAAAGCAGCTTTTTGCTTATGTAGTGGGGTGGCTCCCTGGGCCCGTGTGGCATGTTTTTTTAGAAATTGCAGTTTGTTCCCATGAGCCATTTTGACCTGTAAATCTCTTATGGTTGGGATTTTGGCTTAAAATCCTGCCATGGACACTCTTGCACAAAAGCACATGGCATTGTGGATGCTCTCTTGCACAAGAAAGCTGTGATGGCCATTTTAGCGATAGGGGTTTCTTGCACAAAACATCCCTGTTGCCCATCCACACATGCCTTTTTGAGCAAAAACTCTTGCGCAAAAAGGCTTATTCCTCATAGAAAGAAGAATAACTCTTGTGCAAAAAGCCCTCTCTTCTGACAATCTATTGTACTTTTTCTTGTGCAAGAATGCGCTTGTAATGTGGACGCTCCGCACATTTTTGTGCAAAAACAGTAGGTTTTGCGCAAAAACTCTGCAGTGTAGACACAGCCTAAGCAACTTAATACTCTTTGGCCGAATCATTCACACTGGGTCACCAAGAGCAGAAACTGACCTTCATTCCCCTGCCCCTTGTAACGCTGCCGGGGGTAGAACTGCTGACACATTTTTCACTGGCACCATGATCAGACCATGTGAAAACACCAGAGATGAAAATGGGCCCGGTGGTCTCTCACCTGCGATGTCCCACAGTTCCTTATAGCTTTTGTTCATGTTGCTCTGGATTTCTTCTCGCTCTGTTCGAGCATCGGCCAGGGCTTGCAGCACTGAAAAATACAAAGCCTCACATGAAGCAATAGGGCATAGGCAGGACGGTGTAGCAGATGCTGCGCTAGACAGCTGGGTTCTGTTCCTAGCGCTGCCTGTGACTTTGAGCAAGTCTCTTTTCCTTCTCTCCCTGCATCCGTGTTGCCTACTTAGATGGTGCAGGCACAGGCTGTCTTTTTTCATGTGCCTGCACACAAAGGGGCCCAGCCCTTGGTGTAATGCAAGGAATAATTGAATTTCACTTTCAGCTCCATTTGAAGCCGAGAAACTAGACGTAAGTTCTTATGAAAGGCAGCCTTCCTTGTGAAGGGCCAGCTCCTTCGTTCCTTCCTTGGGAGTTTGTGCTCCTGCCATTTATTTACTGTTTCTTGTCTTTGAGTGTAAGGTCTGTGGGGCAGGGAGCATGATTTTTATATGTTTGCACGGTGCCTAGCACAGTAGAGATGCTAACACAATACAGATCAAGAATAATAGCAATACGCCTCCATTGCTGTCAACTGCATTTACTGACATGGATCAACCGAGGATGCTCTGACTGCCCAGTTGCTTGGTGTGACCTTAATCAAGTCCTCTGCTTCTCGAGTCTCTGTTTCTCCACCTGACTCTTCTCTCATCCTATCCAGTGTAAGTCAGGAGTAACTCCATTCAACTCCGTGGATCTGATTCAGCTCTCACTTAAACCACTTGTCACCTGGACTCGTTCCTCTGGCGCCAGTGGTGTTCCAGATGTGAGAGCTGAATCAGAGCCAAAGGGTGTCATTCTGGTGTAAAGAGAAGCATTGAAATAGAAATACTGACGCCAATGGTTCTTTCCCTGGTGCCAGGGAAAGGAAAATCAGATCCGGGGGGTGGCTTGTTCAGCTTTTTTTTGTGTGTGTTATTTGCAAAGAGCTTCGAGATGCCTCGGGGTGGGGCTGAAGATGGAGTCCTGAAAAGGCTGGCACTGCCAGAGTGGCCCCGTCCCCTCCTCCCCCTGCCTAATTCAAGCCCAGAACTTTCCACTCATCCCCAGAAATACCTGCTCCGTGTGGGCTAGAGTCCCAGAACCTACCATTCGTTAGCATCTCCGAGTAGTTATAGTTTAACCCTTTTAACTCCTCTGACATCTCCGAGTCTAAAAAAGGAAACGAAAGAACACGGCTTGTCCATTCACGCTCAGATAAATAGGCCAGATGCTCAGCTAGCGAGGAATGGCCAGTCTGAGTCAAATCAGGACTCTTATCTAATCTAGTGTCTTGGCTCTAGGAGTGGCCTCCACCCGCTACGTCGGGGGGGGGGGGGGGGGGGGAGATACGCCAGCAATCACCTATCTCCAAGGGAAGTTTCAACCCACGAGTTATAAGTTGGCTTATGCCCCAGGGGTATGCTGATTTATGCCGGATGTGTATCTGGCCCAGGGGAGTTATTCTGGTTTACACCATTGGAACAAGCCCCATGTCTGATCCCTTAGTGTGGGATGGCTGGGATGGGACTCAACTGCATTGCCAGGCAACCATCCCACCCTTTGCTGTTCTTAGTGTATGTCTACACAGCAAAAAAACCCGTCTCTAGTGCAGACAGTTTCAGACCTCAGACCCTCGATCGCTGAAGTCAACTGATCCTGCTCTGAGACTGCTGCCATGGGCTCTGGGGTAATATGTTTGTGTTTTTAATGGGACTTTAAAAAAAAATCTCTCACCTATTACTCTGTGAAAGACCCATAGCAACTGAGGAAAGGAATTAACAACTATTGGTTCTGCAGGCATGACTGTAATACAAGTGTAACCCAGAGGCACTGAGCAGGGAGTGAAAAAGTTGCTCTACAGCCTTTGCAAGAGGCAGCTGGCTCTTAGCGCATGCTGTAAAGGCTCATGGCATTGCCCTTAAAGTCCCAGGTTCAGTCCCACCTGCTGCTCACCTGGGTTCACTGGCTTTGTGCAAATAATAATTAGATTGTAATAATACTCTATTTGAGAGAGTTTGTGTATTTGCCTGTATGGGTATGTCTAAACTACATGCCTCTGTCGATGTAGATCAGACAGATCGGCAGAGGGAAATGAAACGAGGCATAACAGGGTGGTTAACAAAAGGGTTTTCTGTTGGCAGGGGAACGTCTAGACTGACCCGCTCTGCTGACAAACAGCTGATGGGCAGAGCAGGACAGTCATTTAAATGAAGCCGCAATTATTTAAATCGCCGCTTCATTTCCCTCTGCCGATCTGTCTAATCTACATGCCTCCGTCGACAGAGGCATGTAGTCTAGACACACCCTATATGTGTGTCTGTCTGTGAGTCTGTTTGGTCAAAAACTCCTCCTAACTGGTAAGATCTAATGCCACCATATTTGGTAGGCAGCTTCCTCTTGTCATAGCTTAATGCCGGGTCAGGGTTTGATTGCGCCAAAACACTTGTATGTGCTTAGAATTTGATTATTTCTCACAAAATGGAAAGGGAAGAGGTCTGGTAGGAGAGACCTCCTGGGACTATAGAATGACCACCTGGGGGCAGCAAGGGGCCAGAGATGGAGACAGGGATAACTATAACCCCATTGGGCCAGCAGGAGAGCAGGGGTGGAGAAAAGGAGATTTATTTATTTACATATTTATTTATATTTCATAGAGTTTCTCTCTCTATATATCTATATCTATATCTATATGCACACACTATATATTTCATAGTTTGTCTATTTGTGTGACTGTTTGTGTGTCTGTCTGTCCCCCAGTTGTGGGACATGCACCCCTCCCCTGGCTGTGCCCACTGCAGCAACCATGGACAGGCGCTTCCCTCCTGGCCCCGAGCTGCTGCAGTGAAAGAGGGCTGGGGCAGTCCCCTCTCCCCAGGGCAGCCTGCAAACTGAGCTCCTCCTCCCCAGCCCCACCCCAGAGCAATGATTAAAATTAAGAAAAACAAAACTCATTAGAGTTAAGGACCTGAGCAACGCCGGGTAGATCTTCCAGTGACTGATCAAGTAAACTAGTAACACTGATAAGAACACAGGGGGGAACATGACACTAACTTTTCCCTAGGAGAGGACTTGACACCACTGGAGCAGGGATCTGTCTGAGCTGCTCGTAACCCTCCCTACTCATCCCATCCTCCGTGTTCAATCATCGTGCGAGCCCATTCAGCAGTCAGTGGTACCCCGGTGTCACTTGTATGGACGGAGCTTGATCCCCTGCCGGCCTGACCCTCGTACGGCTATTTACCCGCGTGCAAGGTGAGTGTAAAGTAACAGCGAGTCAGGACAGGGCTCTGGGTGACAGGAAATGAGGCTGACAGCGGTGTGACGTTGCCAAAGTTACTCTTGATTTGCACTAGTGCGACGGCTTCGAGACACAGAGCATGGTGCGCTTGCACCAGTGTTACCGAGATTACTGTGGAGATTGGGGGTTGTTTGTCATGAGTGGCCCTGCACTCTGTGTGTGTGTGTGTGTGTGTGTGTGTGTGTGTCAGGATTGCTTTGCTCCAGTGCAACTGAAATTGGAGGGGCAGGGGAGCAATGCAAGTTTTCTGTGGTTCTCTCTCCCTACTTCCGCCCCTGTGGCATGCTTCTCCTAGCACAGTCTATTTCAGAGCCAGTGTGTGTGTGTGTGCGCGCGCGTGCTTAATAGAGCTGTTTGTGTCAGGGGTGCTTTGCTCCAGTGCAACTGAAATCGGACGGGCAGGGGAGCAATGCAAGTTTTCTGGGAATTGCTTTTCTGTGGTTCTCTCTCCCTACTTCCGCCCCTGTGGCATGCTTCTCCTAGCACAGTCTATTTCAGAGCCAAGAATACCACCAGTAGCTCCCTTATCCCTCTCTTCCCCCCTGCCCGCAGCACTCTTCCCAGGTGTCAGTACCAACTTGTGTGGAGACTTACACTTCACCACTGCCACTGAGAGGAGGACGGCCCACATTGCAAAGCAAATCCCCATCAGGACGTAGAGGGTCATGATGGACTTGGCTCTGTGGCCCTTTCCGTGGTTGGAGTCAGGAAGGGGGTCCGCTGTGGAGAGCAGCAATGATTAGATCTGACAGCAACTCCCTGGATGCTCAGCACTTTCTAGCAGGAAGCACCCGAGAATCGTTTGCCCCAGTCAGCGCTTTCCCCACGCTCTTGACCTTAAGGGATGACTCTGTGGTTATTCCAACTTTTTCAAAATCATGTTGAGTTGCACTGAAAACAGTGATGGCTCTCTCTTAAATGAGTAAGGGGACGTGGTGCGGTCTAGTGGTCAGAGCACGGTGGGGCCCAGAATCCCGGACTCTTGCAGTCTTTACTCGCCTCTCAGAGGGCAGCGGTGCCTAGAGGCTAGAGCTAGGAATCTGGGCTCCTTGATTCTCTCCCCCAGCTCTGAATAGGGATTGGATTCTCATGGCTAGAGCAGGAGACTGAGGGTACGTCTAGAAAATAGCTATTCCACGTCTTGGTAGCATGCCCATTATTTTGAAATGTCTTTCAAAATAATAGGCCTGCTATTCTGACGTCCCGGTAAACCTTGTTCCATGAGGATTAAGAGATGTTTCGGAATAGCAGTTTATTTCAAAATTTGGTGCTAATTACAAAATAAGCCATTTCAAAATTCACTCGAAATAAGCTACGCAATTGTGTAGCTTATTTTGAGCTAAGAGTGCAGTGTAGACGAGGCATGTTAAATATCAGTTAATTGAATAGTCTAGTAATCTCATTAAATTTTATCCATTAGTCGACTATTCTATAGTCCCCGGGGGCGGGGCTGGCAGCCACTATATCAGAGGCAGCAGTGCGGGGAGTCAGGTCCCCTCCCGGACCAGCTGCCTGTCACCCTGTGCTGCTGCTTCTGAGAAAGAGGCAGCAGCGCAGGGTGGCAGCAGCCCCTGTCTAGGGCGGAGTCTGAGCTCCCAACACGAGCTAGAATTGAGCCGGGCTGCCTGCCCACCTGGCTCTAATGCACTTTCAATGAAGAGCTGCAGCGGGAGTAGGTCCTGGATCCAGCATGAGCCAGGACTGAGCCAGGCTGCTGAAAAATGTACTGGCAAGGAAAGGGGGCAAAGGAAATGCGTGTAGCTTATAGCATTAACCTATAAGCTTTTGCTTATTGGTTTATCAGTTAATCAACTACACTATTACATCCCTAGGGTAGGCGCCCCTTGAGAGGTTGGGGAAGAGAACAGAGGGCCTCTCACCTCTCCGGCATTGCGTCCAATCGGCTCTAGGCAGGGCTGTGGCACCTGGATATGAGGATTTCATGCTCTGGGCCCTGGTCTGCACTTGGATTTTATTTTGAAATAACAGCTCTCTACCCGGTCGAATGTATAAACGGAGCATCTACACGACCAAGCCCGTTAATTGAAAATAACAGCTGCAGAATTCCAGATCTGTACTCCTGTTTTTAATCAGGAGTAAAGCTAATTCCAAAAGAGCGGTCATGTGGACACGCTGGGTGCTGCTATTTCAAAATAACAGCTCCCCAGTCTAAGCCGCACTAATTACTCCCCAGTGGTTTCTGGGGCTCTAAGTCCAAGGTAGTGCGTCCACATTAAGGGAGCCAGCCTCGGACTAATTTCGAGGCTTCCCCATAGTGTGGACATGCTAGTTCGATTTTGTTAAAGTACATAGTGTGGACATGCTAGTTCAATTTTGTTAAAGTGGGAGTTAAGTAACATTTACTAATTTCAGAATCGTTTCCTAGTTTAGATATGGCCTAGGGCACCAGACCTAATCTATGAAGCCACTAGGGACTCTGCTAATGCTATTAAAAAGTCATTCCCATCTGATGGGTACTCCACGGCTCAGCTGAATCCAGTTACTCCGAGCACCACAGGCAGCAGGGTCCCAGGGAAAGGAGACTGCAGGAGTCCGACTCACCTGTCCTTGGGGGACTCAGCGACGCTGGTTTCCCGGCAAGCACGTAAACCCCTGAAAACAGGAAGGAAAGTAAGATGCAGGCTTCTCCAGACCGGGTCGCAGGTGGGCCCAAACTCCACTCATCCCCACGGACTGACCCAGCCAGCAAGCGAAGAGAAGATGCAGGTTCTACCTGTGCCTTCCGGGCTTGTGGCATCTGTGTTCTGTGCATGAGCCGGGTGCCTTTGCAGCATCTGCTCTCCCACCTCAGACATGGAGACGTCGTCATAGTCCTCCTCATTGTCAAAGCTATCTGGGGAGTCTGCACAGATGAGAAGAATTAATCCCGGGGCAGCCATTGGCCATTTGGGCCAAATCCCCAGGCCGTGCAAATGGCATCGCTTCAAGCTACATCGGCGGAGGCTCCTGCCCAATGCACTACTAATACTCAGGTCAGAGCAGACCCCTTGCATCTGAGAGCGGTCTGTGAAGAGCCCTGAGCTTCTCCGTAGCTGTGGAACTCTGGGGCACCTGCAGTGAGATCTCCCCCCCGCCCTCTCCGCCCCTGGAAGGGTGAAGGGGATGAAGTTCCTTTCTTCAGGAGCCTCATTCTCTTCTCCCTTGTCCTGGGGCGAATCTGGAGAAACTGCTGAAGCTAGGAGCTGTTGGCTGGTCCCATAGGTTCGGTTTACTGAGCAAAGCCAAAAGCCACCATCGCCTAGTACAAAGAGGCAAAATAGTGGTGGACATAGTGGAAAGAGTTGTTGAGCAAAAAAACCCCCCCAAAAAAGTGTACTCTTTAAATGAAAACGCTGGTTTGGCTTTTGGCTTTTTGGCCACATCAGGATCCCGGCAGCCATCTTGCCAGTGTCATTTTGCTTTCCCGCGCTGGATGGCACAGCACAGGGAGCACCCGGTGAGCACAGGGAACCAGGTCCCAGCAGCTGCTTTGGGAGCTAGGGGGGACACTGCGAGAGACGCACTTTTGGTGGTGAAGAGCCACATGCGGCTCGCGAGCCGTGGGCTGGCGATGGCTGGCCTGGTGCATAGGACACTAGCCAAAGTATGGTCTGGGGACCACTAGTGGTCTGCAACCATCTTGCAGGTGGGCTCACCCCTTCCCCCACAGCAGGGAGCCTGTGCTGGTGCTCCAGCCCCATGCCAGCTACCCTTTCCCTCCCCGCACAGTGGGTAAGTCTTGAGGGCCAGACCTGGCTTGCAAGGAAAGGAAGCAGCTCTGGGTGCTGCCACTCCCCCTCTCCCCAGCTGGAGGCGTTCCCTGCTGCTCCCATTGACTGGAATCACAGCCAGTGGGAGCAGCAGGGGGCAGTGCCTGGAAGCAGCAAGATGCATTGATAGGGTTGCCAGGTGTCCAGTTTTGAACCGGACAGTCCAGTATTTGAGCTTTCTGTTCAGGAAACAAATTGAGAAAATAGAAATGAGAAAATAGAAATGTCCATTGTTTTTTAAATAAGATGTCATGTAGATTGTGATGTAATGTCAAGTGTGTCTGGTATTTTTGTTGAAACCATCTGGCAACCCTAGGCATTGAGCCAGGTAAGCACCCCACCCCTCTCATGCCTGGATCCCACACTCCCATTGCCTTAATGGACTCCCTCTCCTACCAAGACCCCACACTCCCTTCCCCCTTAATAATCCCCTCCTTCTGAGTCCCCACACCACCACCTTGCTCCTACCTCCTCCCTTCCAGCCAGACCCCCACTATCAGCCCGCTCCTGTGCCCAACCTCCCGGCCAGATTCCCCACCACCTCCTGCACCTATTTTATCATCATGGGTGGTTGTTCCGCAGGAAGGTTTGTGTTGAATGGGATGGGCTGAAGGCCAAAAGTTTGAGAACCACTGGTCTAGACTCTAGAGCAACTGTTGGTTGCTCTGCCACTCACCGACGGTTGGCCAGTCACTTCCTGCCTGTGTCCTATCACAGCCTTTGCCTGTCTTGTAAATTCAGACTGTCCCTACCCTGAAGAGTTGGCAGTCTCTGGTGATGTGACTGTGAAACACCCCTCCCAATGGAACGCTGAGCTCGGGGCAGCTGGGAGTTGCTACCTTACTACTAATAAAAACTAATAAAGAAAAGTGCTGCATGGGACAGGAGAATCAGTTCCTTTCTGCACAAATCTCAAAGTATCTGTTGGTTGAAGGGGTTATACCCATTGCACAGATGAGGAAACCAAGGCAGAGAGAGAGAGAGAGAGACAGAGAGAGAGAGAGAGAAGCAGAGAGAGAGAGAGGCAGAGAGAGAGAGAGAGGAGGGGAGTTGCTCAGGGTTACACATAAATCACTGGCAGAGCTGGGAATAGAGGCCTCTCAGTACTGGCATCTCATCAAGGTCCATTCGGCACCATGGCCCAGGTGCAGGAAGCCAGATCCAAGGAACAAGAGGAGGAAATAATGTGGACTCACCAGATCTGAAGTGACTTGCACTTACTGGTCTCCCCTGTAAGTGGTAAATCCCTGCAAAAAAAGAAGAGAGAAACATGGCTGCCCAGCACAGATCCCTACGTGCGAGCCCACTGTGAGGAGCAGATGTCTGACCCTTAGCCCACCTGTACGGGCAGGACAGGGCCAGCTATAGGTCCTTGGGACTTGCCAAATGCGTGACATGATTAGCAGGTGCAGATACATCCTCTTCTAGCCCCTTTTCCACAGCGCTGTGGTTTGCTGCATCACTGACCATCTTATTTATAAAAATAAATAAACACATGCTTAAAAATAAAAGTGTGACCCGCCTAGGCCTCCTGCCCCCACCTGCTGCTGGGCTGCACGCTGCTCCGGCCGGGGCGTGGCGGGGTGGGTATCCCACAATGCGCTAGAGGGGGAAATGCCCTCTGGGCAAAAGGCTACCCCAGTGCCTACAGCAGCAGTTTTCCATCTTTTTTTCCTCATGAGCCAGTGGAAGTGGCTTTTTTTTGGGGGGGGGGAGGGCCATGGGCAATGTACCTTGTAAGAAGAGATGGGGATACAGTGAAGGGGTTTAAACAAATATGGTGCAATTGTAGAAAAAATGTTGTGTGTCTGAAAACTGTAGGTACTGGGGGTACTTATAAATTTTTTAAAAGGGATACTTTATTTAAAAAAGGTTGAGAAACACTGCTATAGAGGATACCACCACAGGGTCCGATGCTGGCATCACAGCCATTGGTAAGGAAGCTTAGAACCTGTAAGCACGAACTTTTCCTACTAGACACCTGCTCCAAGGAGATGCCAGTCAGGGAAAGGGCATGAAGCCTTGTGTTTTTTGGATTTCACAAGGGATCTGAAAGGCTGAGGATCTGCTCAGCAAACCAGTTTGGGTAACACACAATTAGGACACAAATTGAGACTATTCCCCAAAAGGACAAAAAAAAAAATGGTGAAGTTCATCAAAGAAAAAATGATGGCCTGGACTCCCAGCAGGTGTAAATCAGCATTTGCTTAGTGGGGTCTGGCTCATTGACTCCAAGGCTATATCTGCATGGGTTCTTATGCCAGAAATATGCAAATGAGGCTCAGCGTGGAATATCGCTGAGCCTCATTTGCATACGTAATGAGCCACCATGTTTTGAAGAAGAGGCTCTTGCGCCAGAGGGAGCGTCTACACTGCCCCTTCTTGCGCAAGAAAAGCCCTCTTGCGCAATGCCGTTATTCCTGAAAATAATCAGCGTCGCGGCATTGCGCAAGAGGGCTTTTCTTGCGCAAGAAGAGGCAGGGCAGACAACTCCTTCTGGCACAAGAGCCTCTTCTTCAAAATATGGTGGCTCATTACGTATGCAAATGAGGCTCAGCGATATTCCACGCTGAGCCTCATTTGCATATTTCTGGAGCAAGAACCCGCCAGTGTAGACATAGCCCAAGAGAGCGACCCCGAGGGCTGGTCTGCACTGGAAAAGTTGCATCACTAGAACTCTGGCACTTCAGTGCGTGATTCTTTTTTTACCCAAACTCTGGTACAAGCCCGACTGTAGCTGGGTCCTTCTACCAATGAGCTAACTGCAAGGTTTACTCAGCCTTGCTCGGGTCCTTAGGTAAGTTTTGGTTTTCTTCATTTCAATCATTGCTCTGGGGTGGGGTTGGGGAGGAGGGGGTCAGTGTGCAGGCTGCCCTGGGGAGAGAGGACAGTTCCAGCCCTCTCTCATCACAGGGTAGTCGCTGCAGTTTGCCTGGAGCAGGCAATGCACAACCTCTCTCGCCAGCCCCAACTGAGCTGAGCTGCTCCCTTTTATAGCTGTGCATCTTGAGCGTGCCCAGTAAGGCAAAGGGGGCGTGGCTTTGTCAGCCCCGAGGACTGGGTTAACCCCCTCCTGCTCAGTGAGGGGAGAGCGCATCCCGTCACAGGGTCCAATCCAGTCTGGTGGCTGCTGAGCTCTATAGCAGGGGCTCCCAACCTTTCCAGACCACGGTCCCCCTTTCAGGAGTCTGACTTGTCTTGAGTACCCCAAAGTTTCACCTCACTTAAAAAAACGGACATAAAAATACAAAAGCGTCCGCGCCATTCACACTGAGCAATTCCTATTTTTTACATTTTAACCAAATAAATCAATGGAATGTAAACTTCGTACTTGCATCTCAGTGGGCAGTACAGAGAGCAGCACAGACAAGGCACTGTAAGAAATTTAAGCTTATACTGACACTGTGGGGGCTTTTTATGCACCCGATTGTAAAAACCTGGGCAACCTCTCACGGAGTTTATGTACCCCCCGGAAGAGCTCTATGCACCCCCAGGGGTACATATACCCCTGCCTGAGAAACACTGCTCTTCAGTGGGCATGATAGACCCATGCAGTTCATAAGAACGGCCAGACTGGGTCAGACCCATCTCGCCCAGGGTCCTGTCGGCCGACAGTGGCCAATGCCAGGTGCCCCAGAGGGAGTGAACAGAGCAGGGAATCACCAACCGATCACCATTGCCAGGTTCGGACAAACAGAAGCTACGGACACCATCGGCCAGGGGGCCCCCACAGCACCATCCCACAGCCCTGCCCCCCACAGAGAGGCTGTGTGCATGGCACATGACAAGGCCTCTGCCTTAGCGTCTGTGCACAAGTAGGCTCTGCTGCATGGCAGGCTATTTGCATAGCCGTGTTCATCCCAGCCTTCTCACGCAGAGAAAGGAACCGAAACTGAGGGTTAGCGACTGCCCTGAGAGAGATGCCAAGAGCAAGAGAGAGCCCCAAGCAGCACAGGGTGTGTGGATGCAGCAGCAGCCCACCTATGCCCCTGATCTGCAGCCAGGCGGCATGGAACACCAGGAGCTGTACGGGAACTGGCTGTGCCCACCACCGTTCCCCGGGAAGAAACTAGTGAGACAAACAGGCAAAGACGAAG